AAAAAAAAAAAAAAAAAAAAAAAAAAAAAAAAAAAAAAAGAGTTAATGCCACTAGCAGAATTCATACTATCAAACTGCAGTTCTCTCAGCAAATACAGTAATAACCTGGAAACGTTCTGATATCCTAAGGACCAGGAGCTGATGTGGCTTACTTGTTCATTTTAAGTTTTTCACATGTAAAAATTGTACTTTCCTTGTGTACCTGGATTGTTGTAAGGGTACAGCGAAATAACCAGTAGTCAATTTGAAAATGTTTATACTTTCTTCCTCCACAAATATATCACAATTTTTATAGTAAAAATGTTTATAACAAAAGACATTATGTAATACACTTATAGAAATATAGTAATTAAAGAAATTTAAAGATAACCAGGCACCGGGTGGTACATGCCTTTAATCCCAGCACTCAGGAGGCAGAAGCAGGTGGATCTCTGTGAATTTGAGGCCAGCCTGGACCACAAAGCTACACAGAGAAACCCTGTGTTGAAAAAAAAATTAAAGACACATTTTTGTCATTTTATATTATTTTATGTGTATGGGTATTTTACTTGCATACATGTCTGTGCACATGCATTCCTGGTGCCCCAAGAGGTCAGAAGAAGAGGTTGGATCCCTGTTATTAGAGTTACAGACTGTTTTAAGCCACTGTGTGGGTGCTAGGAATCAAACCCAGGTCCTCTATAAGAGCAGCCAGTGCTTTTAACCACTGAGCCATCACTCCAGCCCCATAGAATTTAAAAGTTTTATGTTGTAGGGCAGTGGCTTTCAATCTTCCTTGTGACTCTTTAGTACAGTTTCTCATGTTGTGGTGACTCCTAACCATAAATTACTTTCACTGCTATTTTATAACTGTATTTTCTACTGTTATGAATTTTAATGTAACTATCTGTGTGTTTTGATGGTGTTAGGGGACCCCTGTGAAAGTTTCATTCAATCCCAGGGGGTCACAACCCGTAGGCTGAGAACCACTGTTGTTGTAGGAGCTAGGGTGGTAGCTCAGTTGGTAAAGTGCTTGCTGCACAAGCATGAAGACATGAGTTTGATCATCAAAACCTGTGTGGAAAGAAACCTTGGGTATGATCCTGTGCATGCTTGTAGTCCTAGCACTGGGGAGGTACAGAAAGGCAGATCTCTGGAGGGATAGCTTGCCCAGGGAGCTCCAGGAGAGTGAGGAACCCTGTTTCAAAGAACAAGGTGGAGTGGCACCTCAAAAAGGACACACGAGGTTATCCTTTGACCTATATATACAATGAACATGCATCCACGCACACACATGCCCACACATGCATGCACACACAGTTTTATGTTACATAATAAGAAAAGAATAATCAGCTGTGAGCTCAGAAAGTTCCTAGGTGAAACAAACAAACAAACAAACAAACAAACAAAAAAACAAGCTGAGGCTTTGCTGTGAGTTTACTTAGTTTACAGTTCTTTCCGGTGAGTGCTACTGGATCATAGCTTCTCTGATGGCAGGAAAATCACGTCTCCCTTGGTTTCTTCTGTGCTCGCAATATGCAGTGTTGCTGGAATGACAAGATCTTGTGTTGAGCAGGGTTGAAGCAGGGAGTTGAGAGACTCAAGTCTGAGCTCCAGATGTGCAGCTTACTGATCTTACCTTGGAGAAGTTCTGTAACCCCTGAGAGCTTCACTTCTCCCTTTTATAAAGTGAGGATAATGGTTCTTTCCCCCTGTGGCTGTCATGAGACTGTTACAGTATAATTAAGGCACAATTCATGCTACCAGTGACGTGGGTTGGCTACTTTATAACATTTGGACACGTTTAGTGTTTTAAAATCTAAAACTTTTAAGTTTAAGTACTTTTATGTATTTCTGTACATTATCAAATCCAGAAAAAAAAACAACTCCTATAAATGGCATAACTATAAATACAATTTAAAGTATATAATATATTTATATTCATAATGGATAGGAAAATGGTTTGAAATGTTAACAGAAGAGTTCAGGTCTATCTGTTGACTGTCTGAATTTAAATTGTCCTTAGTGAATCGTGTTCCACAAGAGAGGTCTTCTGTGAGCCAACAGACTGACGTTTTTAATAATCTCTCTTCTTTCCTTTGCAAAGATCATGTACTTGGGCTCAGGCTTGTGCTGTGTTGGTGCCCTGGGCGGCCTTTCTACTCAGGGAACAGCTCGACTCGGCAATGCCTTGGGCATGATTGGAGTTGCAGGAGGCCTGGCAGCCACACTTGGAGGCCTGAAACCAGATCCACAGCTGTTAGCTCAGATGTCCGGAGCAATGGCTATGGGTGGCACCATTGGTAAGCACTGGCGGGCTTCTGCCTACAGACGCTCTCCTGTCCTTCATATATCTGAAGAGGATTAGGCTCTGATACATAATATTAAAAAATTCTTTAATATTGGGGGTATATTTTGACGAATGCATTGTTAGGAAGATTTCTCTTTAGGTAAACACCACATAGCTTATTTTTATTCAAATACATATTCAGATACCAACATTCTAAAACATGGGAAGGTGTATCAGCTGAGTGTGATTAGGAATGTTTGCCTTCGGCTGCCTTTTATACTTCCTCAGGAAAGCTGTGGGCCCTTTGTGTCAATTCCAAGAAAGACGTTTGAAGGAAAATGGTTGCACTGTAGGCTCATGATGGGAAATTGCTTACTCATGACCTTAAACAAATACCCTATCCCCACCAGTAATTCTGTTCACTCACTGAAACTGTAAAAATCCTTTAGAACTAGAAAGTATATTACCTAAAAGTTTTCTTCAGTTTTACCCTTAGCTCCATTTTCCTGAAAACTCAAGCTTAATTTTATTTCCTCAGAATCCTATCTGTATTAATTGTATGCACAGGTGTAAGCACTGGCTGTAGAGAAGAGAGCCTCGAATATTCGCTCAGTGGGACACAATAAGAGGACATAACTGGAGCTTTAAGTAACCTTCATAAGCTTTTGTCCAGGGAAGTATTAGTGGTTCGGGAGAAGCGGAGTGTTATGCTGTTATTTGATGTTGGTTAGATGAGGCAAAACAATGAGGGATTTTGACCTGATGTATATATAGCCAGTGGCTTTTTTCTCTACACTGTCTTTGTAGGAGCGTTTAGTCTGTACTGGGAACCAGGCAATCTTCATTTGTGACAGTGATGCAAACCCTGTTCTGAACGGTTGTCGTTTTCCAAAGGTCTGTCACATTTATTTCTCTCTGGCCTTGGTTTTTCAACAGGCTTGGCAATTGCGAAGCGCATCCAGATTTCTGACTTGCCTCAGCTGGTCGCTGCTTTCCACAGTTTAGTGGGTTTGGCAGCAGTGCTTACTTGCATGGCTGAGTACATTGTAGAATACCCACATTTTGCAATGGATGCAACATCAAATTTCACCAAGATTGTGGCCTACCTTGGTACTTACATCGGTGGAGTCACCTTTAGTGGGTCTCTTGTTGCCTATGGGAAATTACAGGGTAAGTGATTTGATATAACATAGAGCTAAATATCCATTATTCAGGGTATCCAGGGGTTTGTTTCAATTTTAGAAAACTCTTCACAGTAGAGAAGGGGTTTGCATAGCACTTAGACAGATGTAAAAGATTTTCCCCTTAAAAAGAGAATTCATTTTAATTCTTAGAGGTTCTAAGCTTTGTGACATTTTCTTCTGCAGACAGCTAATAGTAGCAATTAGTACAGAAATTTGTAGACACTAAGGGATATTTGATAATACATATGACCAAAATAGCACCTCCATAGCCTTTGTCTTGGAGATGTCTATGGAGATGTCTACAGAAACGAACTTGTGTTTCCTAGAATAGAGAGATGCTTATTATCCACTAAGTTTGGTTAACGGAAGTTATTCTGAAAAACAGCACATGTTTTAGCACTCTGCCGCAGCAAATTTTACTCCTGCGATGATGAATCATGAAGATGGAAGCAGAAAGAAAAATCCAGAAAGCCTCCATGCAGTGTGGTCACAAACAAGTCCCTAGAGAAAGTTGTGTGTGATGTAAAAATATGGTTTTGCCTCTGAACAATCAAGTTATTAAATGGGGAAACTTCTATGAAACTTAAAAAAAATCACAAATGAACTTCAAGTCTCACCCATTCTTGTCTCAGGCTTTTTCTTTAGAAATAGCTAACGGGTTCTTCTCCCTTGGGCTCAGTGGATAGCATTGGGAGCACTAATGTTCCAGAACTCCGTATTGAAGTTGTAAATAAACAAAACCACACTTAACAACTTCTGTGTTGGTCATACAGGAAAAAAAATCGGTTTTTAAGATTCCATGACAGATTAAAAAAATTATGTGGTCAAAAAGTAGGGAAAAGAACAGTTAAGTTGAACCATATTTTCTCATCTCTGCTGATGTGTGTTACATGTAGACCTTTTAACATGCCTTTATGTTTCCATATCTGGTGCTGTAAAGTGATGTCTGAAGTACCACATTATTATTCTGATATTAACAGGATTAAGTGACTTGTAGAGTTTCCCACGATACACTCTGGGTTCTGAGTAACATCTGCTTCGGCCCAGGTATTCTGAAATCAGCCCCTCTGCTGCTCCCTGGGAGGCACGCACTCAATGCAGGCCTGCTGGCTGCTAGTGTGGGTGGGATAATCCCATTTATGATCGACCCCAGCTTTACCACTGGCATTACCTGTCTGGGCTCCGTGGCTGCACTCTCTACTCTCATGGTAAGTTGCTGGAGATGGAGAAACCCATACTTCGGAAAGAGCTGGGGATATATTGTTAGACTACAATTGGATCGTGTTTCTGTCTCTTCATGATCCCTGAGGGAATAAAAATGTCCAATAGCTATGTGCTGTCACTTTAGAATGTAGAAAGTTTAAGAAGTAGGAGAAGAAATTCTCTTATTTGACTATTTAAAGTTGTCACATCTGACACCTTCAGTACTCTGGAGTTCTCACTGTACCAACATGCTGGTGAAAAAGAATTTTAAAAGCCAAGGGCTTAAACTCTGTTTAGTAGGCACCTACTATATAACAAGTTTGTGTAATATGTGTAAGATGGTGACAGCTTGTAAGCTGATCTCACGTTCCCTGGAAGATGTGATATGGAGTTCAATAATTATGTAAAATGAATTACACTTAATAAACCCAGTGTATTCACTGAGAGAATTCTTCCCTTCATGAATTTTCTCTTCCTCCCCTGTCTGATTTTGTATATAATATATTGATAAAACAGAGATTCTGTGTGTTACAGTTTGGCATTTTATTAGTAGAAGATGCTATTACATGGATTTGCTATTTACTATTGCTTCTTCACATTCTTCTAGACTGGCTTATACTTTGTAGATGATTGCCTTTACATTTGAAGTTGAGGAAATATTTATAGCACCTAGTACAGAGTTAGCCATCTAGTGATTGTGATTTCTTTTCAAATACTGACTCTTTGATTCAGAAACACAAGATCTGTAGTATATGAATGGGACTTTTTTGCGAGTGGTCATAAGGTTAGGTCATGGGTCAGTATAGGCACTTTAGGACATTGGGAAGGGCTTGAAATTCTGCCTTGGTACCCTTTACAGTCCAGTTTTCTTCTGTCTTATCTGGTTATGACTTTTTTGTTTTATTTTAAATAATATAATTTTTGTTTTTTTATCTAATCAAGCAGAAGTTTTCAAAAGTCCCCATAATCAAACCTATAATATAGAAATTTAAATTTTTAACAAATTGTTATTTTTGAGAAATAATGAATATATTTGAAAGGAACTTATTCCCAGCATGAAAATGTCTCCATAATGCAAAGGATATTTTAAATTGCTTTGGCTTATATATTCTCATAGAAACAAAACACAAAAATGGAGGGGTATATGGAATGAATAGTAAAATCTGCCCTCTCCATCTTCTTTACTTTCCTGTATTTAATAACTTTGAATTGCATCATGGACATTGTCAATGATGCTTTTTAGACACATTGGATTCTGTTGTATTCATCTAGAGTATTGATAACCATTCATGATTTATTTTACATTTTTTAAATATTATTTTTGTTTTTGGGTAGCTAACTTGGTTAGACTAAAGTTTCAGATTCTGGCTCTTACAGCACAGCAGCTGAAACCTGTTGTTATTTTATCCTTAACAGAGTTGCCTGCAGTCTAACCCAGAGTTTTAAATATCAGCTAGAGATTTGGGTAGTGTTTGTACACAGCATTTGGGGCACCTTCAAATCATTCTAGCTTGTTCCTTTGTAGGATTTTCTTTTTCACTTTCCAGCTGTCTTTGTCACCAAAACCATGTCCTCTGGATCGTCAAAAAAGTAAGACGTGGACTGATGGCCTTAGTTTTATCTCCTCCACTTGATACCAGCAGGGGCCCGACTTCAGTCTAAAGCCATCAAGAGCTGGGACATTCACTTGGTATCATTTAATTTTTCCTAGTGGAGATTCCTTTCCAGTTTATGCCATATTTTCATCACTACTTTTATTCAGGGGATTTTGGGGGTGGTGATGACTAAATGTTCCTAGTTGCTATGTCAGTGAGTGAGTTGGTCATATGGGAGCCTTGGTCATCACCAGAAGTAGAACTTCTATGAAAATATACAAAAAAAAAAAAAAAAGAAAGAAAGAAACTGGAATGATTAAGAACCAATCTGTGGAATGTTAGAGGTTTGTTGTATATGTTCACTTGGGATTCTTCTTTGGTTTTCTCATAGGGTGTGACTTTGACAGCTGCTATTGGGGGTGCTGACATGCCTGTTGTCATCACTGTGCTGAACAGCTACTCAGGCTGGGCCCTGTGTGCCGAGGGCTTCCTTCTCAACAACAACCTGCTGACCATTGTGGGTGCGCTCATCGGCTCCTCTGGTGCAATCTTGTCATACATCATGTGTGTGGTAAGAAATACATGTGAAAGAGAGTAGAAATGATGTCCTGGAGACATGAATATGCTTGTTCTTTCTTCCATTTGTAGTAAAAATAGATCTATTGGTTTTAATTATTTTCAGCAGAAATATGGGGATTTCCAGAGCAAATTTCTGAGACTGTTTTAAAGATATTCAACTACAAAGAATTAGGAAAACTTAAAAATAAAACTCTTTGAATGTCTTTCTCCATCTTGAGGGTAACATATAATATTTAGTTTAGTTATTTTTACCATTCTTTTTGTTTGTATAGTACTATGTATTTACTTGTTTGACCTTATTGAATTTTTCAATTCAGTTAATTTTTTCCCACCCTGTACTGTGAGACAGGTTCTTGCTACATAGCCCTGGCTGGCCTTGAATTTGAGATTGGAACTCTTGATCCTCCTGTCTCCCAAGTGCTAGGATTACAGGAATGCATGATAATATGCTTTACCTAGCTTTCACTTACATTTTAAAACATTACATACTACATATTGCCTTTTTAATCATGAAAGACCCTGCCTTTAAAATGGTATTTAAGGGGCTTTATAGTAATCTATCATGTGGATTATACAAAGTTCATTTAATCTTCACCAGTACTTCACAACGTAGGTTATTTGGTTTTTATTTATTTTTTGTATAGAGTACATCTTTGAATTTTTCTTTTTTTAAAAGTTTTTAAAAAAGATTTTATATATTTATTATGTATACAGTCTATACAGTCTTCTGCCTGCATGCCAGCAGAGGGCACTGGATCTCATTCAAGGTTGTGAGCACCATGTGGTTGCTGGGAATTGAACTCAGGACCTTTGGAAGAATAGTCAGTGCTCTTAACCACTGAGCCATCTCTCCAGCCCCATCTTTGAATTTTTCATGTGTTTTATTTTATTGTTTGAAAATTTCATCTATCTATCTATCTATCTATCTATCTATCTCTCTATCTATCTATCATGTATGTATGTATCTATCATGTATGTATATGTACCTACTATCTATAACTATTTTGATCAAGTCCAGCCCCTTGTTGGGTATGGAAGCACATGCCTTTATTCCAGCTACTTGGGAGAAGGCAGAGGCAGAGGCAGAGGTATGGTCTCAGCATGAGACCAGCCTGGCCAGGGTTACACATTGAGACATCGTCTCAAAAAGAAAAATAATTAACCTCCCATTTCCCCCTCATCCACTGTTCCTTCCCAATTTCATGTGCTTTTTTTTTTTTTTTTTTTTTTTTTTGTCACTAAGTTCACTTAATGTGCATGGTGTAGACAATTTGCCAGAGCCTGGGTAGACTCTCTGAGGCTACATCTCCCTCTCTGAGGCCCCGAGAGACCATCAGTTAGCAGTACTTCCTTAGCTGGGGTGGGGCTTCATGATTCCCTCCCTCATCTATCCATTTGCACTTTTAAGATACAGTTCTTAGAAAGAATGCATTTACTGTTAGGGCCTTTTTCTTATTGTTCGTTTCCATTTCCAGACAGCTTGTTCTGATCACCCTCCTCCTGGTTACCTATGAGTATGCCTGTTGTAAAGGTTTATGGTCAATGTTTTTTTTTTTTTTTTTTTTTTTAAAGAAGAAACCAGAACAGAGAAGTAGCAATGCAAATACTTCTACTTTCCTCTTTGTTCTTAATTATTTCTCTTCTTGATGGCAGAAGGTAGCTTGTAAATGACTATAAATTTGACTAGAAAACTTGCTTAAATTAGTTATTACTCTCTACAGAATCGTTTTGGGTTACTGTTGAAGCCCATTTGCATTGCTTCATAACAAACGGGCTTAAAAAAAAGCCAAACTTTTTTTCAATGTCTATATCTTTACAAAGACTATGTAAGAAATATCTCTGAACATTTGAATTTGAAAAGGTCACTTCCTGGTTTCAGTTCCCAGCACCCACCTTGCAGCTTACAATTGACTGTAACTCCAAATCTAGGGGATCTGACACCCTCACACAGGCATACATGCAGGCAAAATATCAATCACATAAAATAAAAATAAATAAATCATTAAAATGTCTCTTAAAAACCTACTCCAAGGTTTACAAAGACATCTCAGGTTTACAGATAACCTTAATATATGACACCTTAATAATATATTTAAGACAGTTATAAGCATCTGTGCTTAATTAAATTAAATTTTAATTAAAAAGATTATTCATTTTTTTAATTAATATTTTTGAGAGCTTTCTACATGAACACTGTCACTCTCCCTTCCTTCCCATCTCCGACTTCTCCCATATTGCTGGGATTTCAAGGGTGCATTCTCCTTGCCATGTCTAGGGGACTGTCTAGCAGCAGGCACCACCCTCTGGCTCTTACAATGTTTCTACCTCTCTCTCCTCTGTTATCCCTGAGGCTTAGGTGTACTGTCTGCATTGCAGATGTATCCTTTGTGGCTGGGAGCCCTGTGGTCACTCTGTATTTTGCTCAGTTGTGGATCCTTGTAATAGTCTAAAAGCTTTTCGGGTAAGGGGCGAGAGCTACACTCACCTTGCTTCTTTAGTTACCTCCGGTTACACAAAAACCTTCATTTGAACATCTCAGCATTTTCTTGTCATGTTAATTAAAGTACTGAAGTTACCTTTTTGCAATAAAAGTATTTTTGTGCTTTTGCTCATCTTGTAAAACACAGGGCTCTACAGCCTACGTTTAAAACAGCCCGATTATTATGCTAGTAGTAGTAGTTTCCAAGTAGTTTGGAAGATTTGGAATTTGGAGATTTTCTTTCAGGCTCTCTGGTGTCTAAGTTACAGATACTTGCAAAGGAAAGTTGTATTTAGTTCTAGAGTTTCCTTCAAAAGTGAACTTCTGAACCATTTTGTTTCTTTTGGAGAATCTGAATGACCAGCAGAGGGCAGAAGATTTTTCACAATTACTTAAAGGAAAGAGGAGTTTTAAAATCAAATTGCAAGATTTGAATAATCTTATTTTTTTATTATTTTTTTGCTTGTTTATTTTAGACAGTATATCACAGTTAGCCAAGGCAGGTCTCAAAGTAGGTATCCAGCTGCATCAGCCTCCTGAATGCTGGAAATATAGGCATGTACCACCACACCTGGCAAAAGATTTGAATTCTATCAATGCTGGAGGCTTCTCATTGCAGAAGGATCGGGGAAGGATTTGTATGTAGTTCCTGAGTGGGCAACCTGAGTACCTTTCCCATTTTTATCCTTTTTTCTTTAATGGTTTTCTTTAGATTCATTATTATTATTATTATTATTATTATTATTATTATTTTAGCAATTTTTGTTCCAAGTTTCTAATCTGTGCCTCTTCCTTCTTGCCTTCTCTCTGTTTCATCTCTTTGTTATTATGTCACAGCAGCACAGTGACATCTACAGTAACTAGAATGAGTTACCCAGGAAAAGGTGCCTGTCACACATACTCTCTTCTGTGTGTTCTTGTAAAATGATCTCATCCCCCCCACCTTGTTCTGCCCTTTCACATTTTAGATGTTTTTCTAGTCTTTGTCTTCTTTCTATTTCCACTGCCCCAATTAGACCACGAGACAATAAGTGTTCTACTTTTGTGAAGAATAGCTGGAGGCGAGGTGGTAAAAGGAGAGAAACTAAATGTTTTGAGGAACAAAACACATTTTAAGAATTTGAATGACTTCCTGTTTTAGTTAGGGTTTCTGTTGCTGTGATAAAACACCATGACCGAAAGCAACTTGGGGAAGAAAGGGTTTATTTCACTTCCAGTTCCACATCACAGTCCATCATTGAGGGACATCAGGATACAAACTCAGGGGAGGAGCTGATGCAGAGGCCATGGAGGAGTGCTGCTTATTGGCTTGCTCTTCATCACTTGCTCAGTCTGCTTCCTTCTGGCACCCAGGACCACCAGCCCTGGGGTAGCACCACCCATAGTGAGCTGGTGCTACCACAGGCTTGCCCACTGACCAGTCTGGTGGGGGCATTTTCTGAACTGAGATTCCCTCTTTCAAAATGACTCTTGCTTATATCAAGTTAACATAAACTAGCCAGCACACACACTAGCCATGAATCAATGCTTTTTACATGATGACTACTTCATGGGGAGCAAAAAACCTCAAAACCATTTAAAACCTATTCTAATGGTTGTAGTCCATCCACTATATTACTTAAAAGCTTACAGTTATTAATCTATTACTTTTTCAAAGACAGCACTCTATTTAAAATGTTTTAAAAAGTATTTAGAAATCTTTAGTAATGCCACATCAGAACAAAAACAACAAAAAACAAAAACCAGGGTCATCCACACAACAATGCAACAATAAGTAGGCCAGTGACAACCTTACAGAGACATTTACACAGCTGGGGAGGTCTAGCAATAAGAAAGAGGGGAGAAGGACTGTGGAAAATAGCCATACTTTAATAAATAACATAAATTTTCAAAGATGATGGATAAGGGGATAAGAGAAAGTTTGATGTTTTGAGTTCTTATACTAATAAATCCTTATAGTTGTCTAGGATCATAAACATATGAGATCAAATTAATACTCTGTAATATTATTTTTTTATTTATTTGGATTTAAGGACAGCTAAAGCCTTAATTAAAAAGACTACTCCAAGGCCAGATGTAGTAGTGTGTGCCTTTGGTCTCAGCACATGGGAGGCAGAGGCAGGCAGATCCGTGTGAGTTTTGGCTAATGTGATCTATATAGTGAGTGTTAAGCTAGCCAAGGCTACATAGTTTAAAAACAAACAAACAAAAATAAAAAACCCACTATGAGCTAAGCATAGCAGCACACACTTGTAATCTTAGCGCTTGGGAAGCTGAAGTAGGAAGATCATTGCTTTTTGAGTGCAGCTGGGATTGCATAGAGACTTCAAGGCCTGCTTGTACCTATGAAAAACCTATTTCAGAAAAAAGTTATACATGTGCAAGATATAAGGAATTCGGCTGAATAAAAAAGGTTAAGGGAAAATAATATGACATAATTCATACTCATCATTTAACTGTTAACGTTTGACATTCTAGTTCCAGATCACTGTGTTGACGTTCATTCTCCTTTTTTAATGTATTATGTTTTTCTAATATTTAATTTTCTTTTTGTA